GCAACATACTGTTTAAGTTTGTCGAATACTTCATTTTTTGAAATAATAAAATAAATTTGAGTATAACGCGAATAGTCATCAATGAAAGTTTCGAAATATCTTTTCCCTCCTAAGCTGTTGACTTCAATTGGCCCCACAACATTGTGTGCACTAAATCCAGTGGATTTTTAAATCTAAAACGTTTTTGGGATAAAGATTTTTCAGTTAGTTTCGCTTTTACACAAGTAGAACATTCCACACTATGAATGCATTTGCCAAGTTTAATGCCATCTGCCAAATCATTTTTCTCAAGTGTTTTTATGGCATCTATATTTCTGTGGCCTAATCTTTGATGCCATTTTAGTATACAGTTCGTATTAGAACATGAAGCATCATTAGCTAGGTATGCTTTCTCGTCAATTGAGTTTACGGTCAATTTATATAAACCTTGTTGAGCGTTGCCGTCGGCTACGAGTATATTGTTACGCTTTATGTAACACTTATTACTATTAAATGTAACAATGCAACCTTTATTCGTAACAGATTGAACAGAAAGTAAATTAGTATCTAGACCTGGTACATACAATACATTTTCTAAATTTTATTTGTGTAACCTGACCCTTTAAGTTTTGAACTTTAAAATAGCCTTCACCAATACCATAAGAATTTAATTTAGCACCATTGGCTACAGTTACTATTTGTTTATTAGAGTCATTTAACTGAGAGAAAAAATTCTTATCACTCGTCATATGAGTTGAGGCTCCTGAGTCGATAACCCATTCTTGCGTTTACGTGTTTTTCATGTTTATTTTCCACCTTTAGAACTTGATTAAACTGAATCTGCGAATTTTCAGTTTCAATACTTTTAAGTTACTTATTTTCTTTAAGTTTTTTGTTTTTTCTACACTTTGCGTATTTGCTATTTGGCATGCATTACTTTTATAATTTTGAGAATAATTTCTTACTTTACTGTTATTTACATCTGTTTTCAGGGAAGTTTTAGCGTTGCGTTTTAAATGAAAACAGTCATTTATCATATGGTTATTTCTCTTACAATAAGTACAATATTGTGTAACATACTTTGATTTATTTTCGCTTTTACTTTTTAAAGCAACTGATCTTTTTAAAGCAACTGATATATATCTTGGCACACGTTCGTTTCGTATGCCTTTCGAGTTTCATTATGCAAAATACATAAATTTATGCTAACAAGACTAAATATGCATATTCAATAATAGCCTTAATTATTTTCTGTACTTGAAACTATAGTTTTTAAATTTCTCTTTAGACTAAACATGCATAATTAATAATAGCCTTAGTTATGTTCAGTACTTTAAAGTATATTTTTTAAATAACTTCAATTCTAAGTTACGATTATTTAAGATTTCATCATTTTTTTCCTTAAGTGAGAGTAATTATGAAAGTACTTATTATGAATATATAACATTAATAGTAGGTTTTAAGTAAATAAAACTCAATCAGACATACATAAAGGTAAAGATATATATGTGGATAAAAAAAGGGGTGTTTCTGATAACAACATTATCACATTTATATCTGTTAAATCTCAGAGACATTGAAAATTGCCCCTTTCATGATAAATTAGGAAGCAGTTCTTAAGGTAACATAATCAGTATTTTACCTGAACTCCAGCATAAATTTATTCGCATTTCACATTAAAAAATATAACCATTAACTTCTATATCTCCAAGATATGCAAATAAAAGACTGTAAAAAGTAGTTAATAAATGTGATCAAAAGTACTTCATACAAAAATATACCTAAATCTAATAACCAAAAGAAAAAAAAATTCCCATATTCATATCTAAAATGAAATAATAACCTAACAAACATAACAGCACTAATTAAGAAAAAACATGAACTAGCAGTGTTTGAAAGTCTAAATAGCAGAAGGAAGGTAACAGAACTAAAATCTCCAATTAATAAAAAAATATTTGTGTTTTTTAAATAGTAAGCAATAATTATGGATTGCAGTATTTACTAGTAATGCTGATGTTTCTTAACACCATTTCTTTCGATCATATGCTAATGTATTCACTTATTCTTAGTTTCTGCATTTTAGAATAGTGGTTGATTACAATGATTGTTTCATGCACTTTTTATAATTAAGATCTTCCCTTTTGTTACTGTACAGAAATAATTTAAATAATATAGTATTTGATAGTAAGCTAAGTACGTTAAAGTAAGCTCTTCATTAAAAAGCACACAATGAAACTTTTTGTTTCTATTTATTATGAATTTCTTGGCACATAAAAAATAAGCGAAGAAAATAAAATATTTTTTAATTTAATAAAAAATGAAACCTAATTTCCAAGATTCATTTATTAAGATAATCTAATAAACATAACGGCAATATTTAAAATAACGGCAATATTTAAAAAACCAGAATTACACAGTGTTTGGAAGAAAAGACACCAAACGAAAAGTGATAAAACTGCAATTTGCAATCAATAAAAAATATTTAGTGTTTTTTAATATTACACAATTAAATACCACATAATTATAGATAACAATACTTCATAAAAATGCTAATGTTTCCGTAACACTATTTTCTCGACCATACATTTCATACACTGTTTAAAATCATTACCCTTTTCTGCATACTAAACAAAAGACAACACACTATAGAATGTGCATTATTTTTATATTTAATGTATTGTTTCTTGCTATTACATATATCTAATTCATCTTCAGCAGTCATATTAAGTACAGGTACCAGTCCAATAATTTCTTTGTACAGTCAAAGGTCTTTAATCCGGACTCGTCGGGACTTCGGCAATTCCGGATTATCGATTTTTCCGGACCATAGATAATCAGTTTAAATCTGCTAATATGACATGCAGAAATTATAAAATTAAAAATATGAAACCGTAATTTATGAAATAAAGAACAATTATGATCTACAGAGTATCAAAATTTACAAAAAAAAAGCTTAATATTTATTTGTTTACTTTATTAAACATTTCTTTCAACGTACGCATGCGTAAAGCATACATTACGCATAGTCGAAATTAGAAAATTGCAACCAGAAAACTATTTGATGTGTATTCATGATATTTAAAATGAATTTGATTTAAATCATATCAAAGACAGAGTAGATCGAGATGAAATACTACATTTAGTATTGAACTATAAGTCCAATAAAATAAAAACATCTGCTCTGAAGATAAGGATAGTGCTGACAGATCAACTTCCAGTTCATTGCGCGCTGCGACATTCCCCTACCCCGCAGAGCAGCGTGAAATGGATAAAGAGATTTCGGAATGGTTAGAGAAACAAAGGATATGCCTTTATCCATTTTTTGCAGCAATTCCACTTTTTGTTTGATGGACATCGAAACATGCTTTCGCTTTGTAGATCCTTTGGCAGTATCCAGCATCAGAAATTCTGTTTGATATAATCGAAAGTTCAAGCTTACTTTTATAAAATTGCTCTAACATTCTGCAAAAAGTAATAAGCCAGATCCAATTCGAAGATTAAGGAACAACGCAATCTGCAACATTAACTGAATTAGATAATTAGATAATTTTAGCTTAGCTTATACCGTCTGTTATACATTAAACACACATGCGTGAACGTATTATGCACATGCGTACACACATATATATGCACATGCATAAAGGTATTAACACACATGTATGAATGCATTATGCATTGACACATACGCAGAAAGTTTGTAGCTTTGAGGTCCGGATTATGAGCGTCCGGATTAACAACTTTTGACTGTATTTTGAAAATAATGAACATACCATAACAGCTTAAATTGTTGTTGCTTCTGTAATGATTGCATTTTCAGCAAAACCAGAAAGTGCCTTAGCATTTTATGTTATTTTTAGTTTTATATGAACTAATTCTGAGAGCCAACCTTTCAATATGAACACAATAATCAATTAATGTGAATGATATATGATATAGCACTTATAACCGAAGAAAAAGCTATCCAAATATTGCATCGCTGGAACCATAGAGATAGGAGAACACCATATAACTTTTTAATCACCGGAAACACATAAAACACCAAAAAACAACACTATTTCACGAACACTATATTCACACGATTAGCATTGTAGCATTTCTTGTAGAGCAGATATTCACAAACAAAATAAGCACAAATTCCGCATTCTCACATTTTCTTCTCAATTCAGAGGCTTCCAAACAGGAGCTCACAGCAATGGAACTTCACTGGCTGAAGGCAGTTGAAGTAAGTAGATAAGGACAGAACAATAAGAAGATTCACAATGTGTTCTTTGATTAACAGTGCATTACATTTACTTTTAATATAAGCAATATTATTTACATCAGTCATTCTTGATTCAATTTCAAACATGAAGTCAGTCTTTTCAAATGCTTTTTTCTTACAGATGGCATCTTTACCAAATTACTTGAAAGAACTGCTTCATTCTCAAGTAATGGCGCAGTTAACAACTTTGAATTTGGCAGCTAGCCAAAGTGTGCAAAACCTTGAGATGTTCATTTATATAAACATCCAGTAAATAATGTACATGGAATGTTATCGGTTGAAGAGCAAACTTTCAGTGATTTATATGACTGCATTAAACCTTTCAACGGTTCTTCTGATAATTTAATAGAATCTTTTTTAATTGGCCTAGAAGAATTATTTCAACTGAATAGAATTATAAGTAAATCTTATGCGGACTTCAGATTCTTGAAAGGGCAGATTTAGTCGCTTTTCACTCTAAAAGTAACGTCGATGAACTATGAAAAAAAAATGCTAAAACAACCACATCTAAAAGCAGTCACATCATGATGTTTCAATGATGTCGACAAATTGCCAAGATGCAATAGCAAATATTTTGCATCTCTGCAACGTTGTAAAGACTTTGTAAAAGTTGCCACGACCACTTTGCAATGTCGTGTGCTACTTGGGAAGTCAGGATTTGAGATGCACACATTTAGGTGGAGAACTAGGTCCATTCAAAATCTGGCAGCTCTAGATGCCACTTTTTTTTTTTTTTTTTTTTTTGGCAATGTGAGGAACATACATATATACATGCAGTTTCTTCATTTTTTAATAATACAGTTGACAATACTCAAGACATTGTCATAAATTCCAGTACTGCATTAAAAGTTCTATATACCTTTCAATAAATTGTAAAGCAATTCATAAAATAATACGCACTAAAAATATATTTAAACAGTTAAATCACTCGAAATGATTTTTAAATACCTTAAGTCTAGAAACGACATTTTTTGCACAGTGACCATAAAAGCAAACATAATACAATTCATATTACAATTAATAGATCAATTAAATTTATATACCTTATTCCAAAAACTTCTATCTTTTTGTTTGGATAAAGGCAAGTGTTGACCTATTAAAATAGAATTTAAAAAATAGATAAATATTAAATATTTTAAATAATGAGAATACTGGGTAACTATTTTCCGAAAATTCATAAGTTGTTAATGATTAGTTTTAAAAAAATAACTTCTGATGCAATATACAGGAACAAGAATAATTTTTTCATATTTTTTTCATTTAGACTCCTGCTTTACAAACAAATTATATGAATTTTATACAATAACATTATATTCAGTACTTTTTTATACCCATGTCTGGTTTTAATATTTGGAAAACAGCCATATTTCTGGCATATTTCCGAGTGTATGTTTGCCAGTAATCAACACACACATGTAGATATCATACATGTTTGAGTACAGGAATTTAAATATTATTTCACTGATTAACAACCATCTTCTAACTCTTTTTGTGTTTTAACTTTCTCAACAATCTCACTCAATTTATTTGGTGGAAGTGTTGTTGCAAGCAAATAAAAAAAATTGTTTCAAAGAAATAGATGAAGCATAACAATTGTCTGTAAAAATGTAAATACCGACCATATATATTTTTGCTTATATATCATAAAATACTTTTTATTGATATTTTATTAACAAAATAGTACCTATGAACAATAAAAATAAACTTTTATTTATTTATTTATGCCAGTTCACAAAGTCATCAATACTTTAGAGACATTTCATGGGGTTGCAGATAATCAGAAAGTATCTTATATTGTGACAAAGAAATAAATTTTAGTTTATACCAAATGCCTCTTCAGTCTCCACATATCACTCCGAGCCAGATACTGATCTTTGAATGTAAGTTCCACTGAATCCAAAGAAACATCCTTAAGAAAAAATAAAAAATGAATAAATAAAAAGCAAAACGATAAATTTAAATGCATAAGACTAAGATCTACAGACTAGAATAAGTGAAACAATTCATAATTTAAAAACACAAAATATGCTATGAGAGACAAAATTCTGCAGCTTTTTAACAAATGTTAAATTTACATAACATATGCAAAGTATCTTTACCAAATGCTAACTTCTGACTGTGGTGTGTTTTATACAATCTATTCATTCAAATGCACAAATCTGGTTATTATTTAAAGTCAAGAAAAAGTTAATTTTTAATGCAAAATTAATTGTATTATTGACTTAGATAAAAGCTATAAAAGTTACTTCCATCCAAATTTTGACCAAAATTATTCAAAAGGATGGAATCTAAACTTCCTTTCAAAGTCTCATATCTTCTTTTCTCTATACCAATCACTAAAGAGGACAGGTTCTGAATGTAATCCTGGGGAATGGCATTCCATATACCTTCCATTTGAAACCAAAGTTCAGTCTTACTGTGTTCCCCACCAGCTGTATAAGTGAGTCTCCAATCGATGATATTCCAGACATGCTCAATGGGTGACATATCCAGGGGAAAGAGAGGCTATGGAAGAAGTGAAACCTGTTGTACCCTAAAGAAGGCTTGTGCGGTCTGAGAAACATGTGCACAGGTGTTATCTTGCTGAAATACAGTGCCTGGAATGCTTCGAAATATGGCGAGGATCTCTGGCTCCACAACTTCCCTTATGTAGCGATCACTGATGAGATTGTCTGCAAACTGCACTAAAAGGAATCGACAATTATATCCAATAGCTCCCAACACCATGATGCCAGGTGTTAGAGCAGTATGACACTGGATAACACACTGTGGGAGCAGATGCTCTCCTCTGTAATGCCCGAAACACACCCTTCCATCACTGCACTCCAGATTGTAGTGAGATTCATTGAAGGAAACGACTTGTTGCCACAGTGACATCATGTGTTGCCATGCCCATTGAAGTCGAAGGTGTCTGTGATTCAGAGATGGGGAATCCTGCATAGAAAAACCCTCGCATACAGTTCATGTTGCAGCAGACAGCAACAAACCATGGAGCTAGACAACACAACACCTGTAGCCATGCTCCAACATTGTGCTAATACAAGACACTGTATAATACGTGACAGCCATGCAGATGAGGTGTCTGTTGTCCCATGCTGTTGTGCTATTGCATGCCCTACGGTCAGGATTTTGCCTTGTTTGTTTCTCCTCTGTCCATTTCTTCCAAACACGTATCACTGTTGTGGAATTTTGCATATATCCATAATGCTACAAGATTTTATGCAAGAAACACCACTGATAAAATTATATCCATAAACGCAAGAAGTTGAATACAGCAGTGAAAGCAAAAAAAAAGTATACAGGTGAAGGCCATCAACTGCAGCCACTGAGACATACCTTAAATGGATGAACGAACTGATTCAAGTAGAAAGAGGAATGATTATCAATAAGCTTTCTGAACAAGTGGTGTTAAGGAACTGTATTCTCCACCTTGAATAGCACCAAAAGGTATAAAACTTAAAAAACTTCGGACAGTTGTGTTTTGGCAGCCACCATGAACAAAAGACATTGACACTCTGTTTAAGTGACGTATATATTTCTGTAAATAAATATTCAGTGTTTTTTATAGCATGTGATGTTGGATAATTGGAATGCAAGTATGATCTAATTTCTTTAGTAAGGTTCACAAGCACATTGGCTGGCCTAGATAGCCAATCTATCTCAAAGAAAAGCTTCTTCTTTATTTATATCTTTAATGGTAGAAATATAGAGACAGAAATAAAAAGTGGGCTGCAGTTGAAATGTGGCAAAAAAAGATGGTGAAGCTTTATAATAAATTGTATGCAAAGTGGATAGCTCAACAAATAACATCCAATATAAAGAAAATGGCATTTGTTTGTTCTGATCTGTTAGAGATACCTTAAGTTAACAAAGTTCCCTTTATTTTTTTCAATTTTTTATTGGCACAAAACATGGGCACAATTTTTACCAGTCTGGAGACAAAAAGTCCAAAGATGAAAACAAAAGCAACCTGAGTGCTAGGCATTTTTGCAGCAACTTAGGTAATCAGTAAACTAGCAGTATATCATTCCTTATCCACTATACATTCCAGATTTGCACATTTGAACTCTATTTAGTAGCAATGAAGGCTGTAATTGGATACATTCAAAAATTCTCAATGTTATCCGAATAAATCTAGAGCTCAAACACCATGGGATTCCTTCTTATACTGTGACAGAAAATGAGACTGCAATGTCACTACTAAAAATGCAGCTATTGATACTAACGTTATGTCCACAAGATGTACCTCTTTGAGGCTCATGTTTAAAAGTTGAGCTGAAACACAAATTCTGGAAAAGATGGCAGAAATATTGGAACTCTCATAAAACTGGAACCTGAAAAATTCAGGTTAAGATAATTATAGAAAATTCAATATACCGATCCCCTGCCTTGCACAAAATAGTCCAAAAGTTGGAGAAAGTACAATATGTTACATACTTAGTCTTGTGTTTTTATCAAAGTATTTTAAATTGTTCAAAGTGAATTAATATACAAATAAAATGTAAAATACTGATTTATATCAAAATGTTTAAATTATAGAAATAAATTTTCATTATAGTACCACAAAGGAAAACATTATACATGAACTTACAACTGATAAATATGGCATATAATGATAAATGTATGTATATATAAATGAGTGTAAGGGTAATTAAGGATCTAATGTGAACAGATATGCAGTTTCTTTATACTTTACTAGCTACAAATGCAAATGCTGAAAAATCTGAACACCTGAAATATATCATTTGGGAAAGAAAGTGTTATAAAAAAAATTTAATTGTGACATTTCCTTTCAAAATCGCATGCTACATTTTAGCTGGTGATTGAAAGTCTCAATAAGTAGAAATTTGTATGTAAATAATACAGTTTATTGTTGTTTTTATGCAGCACATATATATTTTTAGAACAAATATTGTTTTGAGTATATTTAAAAATCTGCAGGCAGTATATAAGCAACAACATTTGAGTTACATAATGAGATACTTATTTTTTTTTTTTTTAACTGACGCTGGCTGGTTGAGATTCAGTTTTCAACAAGCACATAGAATGACAAATCCTTAAAGTGATATATAAAAAGTGTGATACTTGGTTCAGATTACAAAAGCAATAATAATTACTCATGCAATCTTTCTCGTCTTTGTTACAGGGTTCATACACATTTCTGTACACGGAAATTAAGTACTTTTAAGGACCATTAATGAAAAAAATTAAGGACCTATGAGCAAATGGGAACTGAATAAATTCAATTGAAAATATTATCTATGCCTGAATTTCACTTCTGTAATACCATCCTAAAAAAAAAAAAAAAAAAATAGATCCCTAAGTAGTATGCATTATTACTAAACATGAATTAATTAACATAATTGTTAATAAGTTTGAGAATAAAATAAACTTTATGAATTTATCAAGTAGCATTAAATATTTTACACTTATAATGCAGTACAAAATCCGTAATCCGGACTCATTGGGACTTCGGCGATTCCGGATTATAGATCATCAAGTTAAATCTGGTAAGATGGCATGCAGAAATTATACAATTAAAAATATGTAACCGTAATTTATGAAATAAAGAGCAATTATGACCTAAAAGGTATCAAAATTTAAAAGAAAAAAAAAACTTAATGTTTATTTGTTTACTTTATTAAACATTTCTTTCAATGTAAGTTGTTTAAGTTGCTTCGTTTTTTGTGCTAATATTTTCTCTTTAATTCTCTCTTCTATAAACAGTCTCTCTCTCTATAAACAGTATTTCTTCTCTTTACGCACATGCATAGCGGAAGCGTGCATTAAACGCGCATACATAAACGTATTATGTGCATGCGCATAACGTTTGTAACTTTTAGGTCCAGATTATAGATCATTCTAGATTATGGATGTCCAGATTAAAGACTTTGTACTTTAATTGGTCATATTTGAAAGAAGATAAGTGACATTTATGTTTTACTAACAGTTAGTTTTATGTTGATTTTTTTTTTTTTTTTTTTTTTTTTAATGTCTCATTTTGTCACATACATGAGACATACCTTAAATGGATGAACGAACTGATTCAAGTAGAAAGAGGAATGATTATCAATAAGCTTCTGAACAAGTGGTGTTAAGGAACTGTATTCTCCACCTTGAATAGCACCAAAAGGTATAAAACTTAAAAACTTCGGACAGTTTGTGTTTGGCAGCCACCATGAACAAAACATTGACACTCTGTTTAAGTGACGTATATTTCTGTAAATAAATTCAGTGTTTTTTTTAGGCATGTGATGTTGGATAATTGGAATGCAAGTATGATCTAATTTCTTTAGTAAGGTTCACAAGCACATTGGCTGGCCCTAGATAGCCAATCTATCTCAAAGAAAGCTTCTTCTTTATTTTATCTTTAATGGTAGAAATATAGAGACAGAAATAAAAAGTGGCTGCAGTTGAAATGTGGCAAAAAAAAGATGGTGAAGCTTTATATAAATTGTATGCAGTGGATAGCTCAACAAATAACATCCAAATAAAGAAATTGCATTTGTTTTCTGATCTGTTAGAGATACCTTAAGTAACAAGTTCCCTTTTTTTTTTTCAATTTTTTATTGGCACAAAACGGGCACAATTTTTACCATCTGGAGACAAAAGTCCCAAGATGAAAACAAAGCAACCTGAGTGCTAGGCATTTTTGCAGCAACTTAGGTAATCAGTAAACTAGCAGTATATCATTCCTTATCCACTATACATCCGATTTGCACATTTGAACTCTATTAGTAGCAATGAAGCTGTAATTGGATACATTCAAAAATTCTCATTTATCCGAATAATCTAGAGCTCAAACACCATGGGATTCCTTCTTATACTGTGACAGAAAATGAGACTGCAATGTCACTACTAAAAATGCGCTATGATACTCGTTATGTCCACAAGATGTACCTCTTTTGA